TAAGCCATAAATATTAGCTAGGCATATTTTTATAAATGCAACAAATAATGCTTAATTACGAATGAATAACAAAACTTCTGTCAAATTACCCTCATTATTGCATCTAATAAATTGATAACATTATCAGAGAATTGTATTTAATGGCCAAGGATTCTTTTTTTTTTTTTTTTTTGATTAAACAATTTAGATAAATAGTATTTTTCATTTTCCCATCAGACTTACTTTGACATATTTCCAAAAAAAAAAAAAATTTTCAAAAAATAAAGGAAAAAACAGAAGAAAAACACATTATTTTAATCATTAATGCATACAATTATTTTCATATCGAAAATGTAACTAAAAAAAAAAAAAAATTTACATAAAAATTTTTGCTAAATTTAAAAATTCTTTAAAATTTTCAGTAATATAAAGTATAATCGAAAACAAGGAATGTTAGATGAATCATCACGATTACGACAAACATTTGATGATGCACATGAAAATTTGCTCGAAAAATCTATCTCATTGTTAGAGTCTAGAAATGATAATAACAAGTAAGTTTTAGATGGTGTATTTTTTCAATCAATAATCCATAAAGGTAGCAATGTCGTATGTTTAAATATACGTTAAAATATGTATTTAATGTTTTAAATAAAGTTTATTTTTAAATTAACAGAAATTAATATATTTAAATTTTGTATTGTTTTTGCTATAAATTAAAATGTCAAAAATGGTCATCTAGTTAGGAAAAGGTTAGAAATCATTGAATTTTTTATTCTGAATTTATTAGCAATGGATTATTGATGTTACAATAATTTATTAGCTTGTAGCCATTGGTTTAGTAATTTGATCATCAATTCATTTGTTAATTTGTTAATTGCAGTAATTTATTAATTGTCACACTTCGACATTATTGAGGGTGTATGTTAAATTTAGCATGTAATTCTAGACTGTAAAATTATATCGATCTAAAAATTATCAGTTTGATTTGAATCATCAAAATATCATATCATTTAATTCATATACTTAAACTATTAGCAATATTAATGAAAATATTAATTGCAGTAATTTACTAATTGATCATATTTTAATATTACTGAGGCTGTAAATTAAATTTGGCATGTAATTCTGCACTGAAAAATTATTGATTTGAATTATCAGTTGATTTAAATTATCAGTTTGATTTAAATTATCAGCTTGATTTGAATTATCAGTTTGATTTATAATTATCAATCGATTCGAATCATCAAAATATCATATCATTTAAATTATGCAATTAAACTATTAGCAATATAAATGTGTATATTTACAGGTTAGTATATCAATTAATGCAAGGACAAAAACAACAAAATTATAATTCATCAGCAAACGGTGATTTATTTCATGAATCATCAAAAGAAATTGAAAATCGAGAATATAATACATCCGATATATCAGATCCACGTTTCTCTTATGCTAATCCATATAGCAGGTAGGAATAATTCATTTAATATTTTTAATTAAATATTTAGCAAAATGAATTTGATTTATAATGAAATTAAAATGATTTACAAAGAATGGAATTAATTAATTAATTTAATTATTACTACTACTATCACTACTACTACTGCTACTATTTTAGTTATGCAAATGCGATGTTATCACCATTAATGGAAATGCAAACATTATCATCAAAAATACATTCTGAAAGTAGAATGGAGGAAGAGGATGAATTTAATGAAACAATTGAAGCTATGAAATATGTGAAAGATCATCAGAACAGGTAATATGATATGTATGCGAGAAAATAATTTAAATTTCGAGAAATGATAATTTAAATTTTACACTTACAAACTAGCTAATCAATATTTTCAATAGTCTGAATAATTGGAATAATTTAATTAATAAATTAGTGCAATTTATTGTTATACATAATAAATGATTTCTCTAAGATATCCCGAAAAAGAAACGTATCATTTTTCAAATATTTAAGAAATAAAAAATTTATCATTAATTTCAATCATGTGAACAGTCTAAGGAAAACTATTTTAAATTTGAAAATTTTACAAAAAAGTTGATTTATCATTTATCTACTACTTTAAATAATGATTAAAAAATTATCAAATATTAAATTTTTTTTTAAAAATTATCAAATATTAAATTTTTTTTTTAGGAAATTTATTGATAAACTTGATTGCTTAATATTTCCGGATGAAATAATATTTTAAATTTTTCAGGATGAATAAAAATGAAGAAATTAGCCATGAAAAAGGTAAATTTGGGAAATTAAACTTAATGCACGATGAAATTATTCAAGAATTGAAGCCAAATGATGCAACTATCATTGTTCATCCGGAAATACATATTCCGGCAGCAATAATATCTGATACTAATAAGGAGCAGAAAAAGGAAATCAATGAAATGAATGAAAATTTACCAATGAGTAAAATTAATCCACAAATTAAATTGGGTAAAGTAGAAGCACGAGTGTTTCTTCGTGATGCAAAACCAAAAATGTATCATTCGGAAGCACAACAACGACCACAGATATCAAGTGATACAGAATCTCGAATGATTGTTACTGATGAAGATTCAAGATTGTATTATACTGATTCAGAATGTATTACATCTCATAACAAACATCATTTTCAAAGGGTAAAAAAAAAATTTTTTTTTTTATTTATAAATTAATTTTCATTAACATATCATTACTTATTTTTTCTGATAAAAATATTAGTATTATTTATGAAATTTACGATTTCCTTTTTTTTTTTTCAAACGTAAATTATTTCAAGTTTTAATTTCAGCATAAAAAACCAATCCATTATGCAATACCATATTATGCACGAGTACCAAATACTCAGGTAAATTGTTTTTTTAAATTTTCAATTTTATCAAATGAAAATATGACAAAGTAGTAAGTTATGATTTTTGAACCAAGTCGATCAGTAGAATAATAGGATTAATTAAATGCAAAAAATGTTAGATTTAAATATTAAGTATAGAAAATGTTAAATTTAAAGAATGGGTTTTTGATTTTTCTAATTATAAAATTTTTATTTTGAAAATATGTAATTATGAAATTGATCAATTTAAAAAAAGAAAAAAAACTAATTATGCAAAATCAAATAGCGCAGATCAAAAAGATTTAGGATTAATAATTGAAGCAAATTCTAGTTTATGAAATTTATGCATTATTAATCAAACATCCTAAATAAATACATAATTTATTCAAATTCAATCACTTAATTAATTTTTTAAATTTCATTGAATTTCATAAATTTCACCTCTAATTAATCATTTCTATCAATGTTTATTCATTTTCAGGAAACTACTCAAACTGATACTTTAGTGCAGCAATTTTTGATGCGTGTTAATATTAGCGAAGATCGTTCATGTGTTATTCCGGATCGTTTACAACCTCATCAACCATCATTTTCATCATCATCATCAACATCACCAACATTCAAACATCCTATAAATGAAAGAAAATCAACGATGAATGAAATTCAACATACCGTAAATCAACAACAATTATCACCTGATGAAACTAATCGAATTAATTGTAAACATACTCTTGTATAGTTGCTTTAATACTTTTTTTTTTTTGCTTTTTCTTTTTTTTTATTTCGATAATAGGAAAAGGAACGAAATTTGTTTCATTGTTAATTAATTAAATGAATTTATTGCAATGAAAATGGTTAATTTTAATTGTAACACAATCTAATTTGTTCATAAAATAAAAAAATTTTAAATACTTATCCTTTTTTTCTCTTTCCTTTTTTCTTTTTTTTTTTAATTTGTAAAACTTTGTTTATTCCATTAAAGTATAAATGTATGTCTTCCAGATGTAAATGTTTAATTTTATGCTTGCATTTTTTTTATTGATGAAATAATTATTTGTTTAATTTCATTTTATTTTGCAGTTTTGCAAAATATTCAAATCCATTTATCATAATTATGCAAATTTATGCATTTTGATATTAATTTATGCATTTTAATAGTGATTTATGCATTTTGATATTGCAAAGTTGATATGTTAGATGGCAAATTATGATGCAAATTTACAGAAATTTTCTTTTTTTTCAAATTTTTAACTTTTCTACATTTTTTTTTTGTTTAAAAATGGTGAAATTTCAATTATTAAAGAGTTATCTTGTGAGAGAAATTACGAAATGAAATTTTGAAGCCACAAAATTTGTTCAATTATTCAAATTTATTGTTATACTTAATTATTTGACAAAGATTTGAAACGAATTAAATTTTCTCAAATTTTTGTCATTTAATAATATTTTATTATACCATACCACAGTTATTTGTATGCTTTCATTAAAAAGAACAGTAAAAAAAAAAAAAATGGAAAAATCTTAGTTAAAAAATTTTTTAATGATAATGAATGAATATTTGTTAACATAATTTTCGAATATAAGAAAAAAAAAAGTGAAATATAACTTTTACAAAAATATGATTATTTATGATTTCAACTTATTAAATTATCCATCGCACCAAATCAATGACACTTTTTACAAATGATAATTTCAAAAATGACATGTTATTTACATTTTGCTTTATATTATAATCCAGACTTTTGATTAATTCTGTTCAAGTTAATCGGAATTTTTGATTAATTCTGTTCAAATTAATCGGAATTTGTGATTAGTTCTGTTCAAGTTAATCGAAATTTATGATTAATTCTCTTCAAGCTAATCGAAATTTATGATTAATTCTATTCAAGATAATCAAAATTTATGATTAATTCTATTCAAGTTAATCAAAATTTATGATTAATTCTATTCAAGTTAATCAAAATTTATGATTAATTCAGTTTAAGTTGTAAATGTCGTAATTTTTATTTTGTCATCTTTTCTTCCTTTATCACACATACTTATTTGTATGTTATCATTGTTTCTTATCATTATTTTTTTTCATACATTTTGTTTTTTTCCAACTTTCGTTTCCTCTTTACTGCCACAAATGTTATTAGTACACTTGACAAGAAACTAATTTAATTTTTGTGGTAAAATTTTGTTTTAATCTTTGATAACAATAATCAACAATGCAACAGGAACAGTAATAACTTACAGTACTTTTTATTATACGGTTTTTTTTTCTACTTTTTCTGCCCTTATCATATCACAAAACAAATTTTTTATCTTATCATAAAGATTTTTGCTCCTTTTTTTTTCGTCAACAATTTTTCCTTTCGCTTTTCATAAAAACTTTATGACAAATATTTTTATCATAAATTTTTTTTTTAAAAAAAATTTTAAATCATGAAGATCCCTTTTTATCATGAAAATTTTTTTTGCCAGATAAATTTATTCTTAGCCTTAACACAATAATCTTTATCACAATTTTTTTTTTTTGCTCTTTCTTTAAAAGATTTTTCACTCTTATCATTTAATTATTATCATAAAGATTATGAGATATTGTTGAAATGAGAAAAATTTATAACTTTTCAAATAGCTTTTTTTTTTTTTTTACGGTATTGTTTACATCGAATTTAGAGTAAATTTTTGAAGAGTGCGAAAATTTTTTCGAAGATTATCTGTGAATAGAGCTATCAATATCATTGATAGGGAAATGTTAATGATAAGGCTATTAATTTATCATTTACACGTGCATATTGCATAAGTTTACTATCATTTCATATCATTTTTCCCAAAATTAATTTAAATTTTAATATGCAAATAAAATATTACTATTAGAAAGCAAAGCAAAAAAAAAAAAGCAAAAAGCAAAAAAACAAAAAGTAAAAAAGCATAAAATGAGAGAGTATGGAAATAAAATTTGCTAACAATATGATGTTATCAATTAATGCCTTCTGATAAGACATAATCCAATTACTTTTTTGGCAAAGTGTAGTTATTAAGAAGAATTTTTGATAAGTAATTATATGAATAGTTAATTTGTATTGCTTAGGAAACTTTTTAATTTAAATTTTATTCATAAAATATCAAATCAAATTTTTTGAGGTATGATTCATAATTGTTGATTTTGGAATGCTGCAGTGACTTTCGTTAAATAGCATCAATCATATTGTAGGATGTCACG